AAAAAAAAAAGATGCAGAACATAACATGTTTTGAGTATCACTGCCAAATTATTAAGTTTAAAGAGCAAAAATGGATATTCTAATGTCACACTGGTCGAATGTGAAAAATCATATTCCCGACCAAATTATCCAAATTTAGATTATTCATACATTCTACTTGCTTAAATCCTAAATCTAAATTGTTCAAAATTCAAAAGGAAGTAAATTAAATAATATTATAGACACAAATGTAAATAAAAATATTTACAAATATAATTAATTATCCAATAAATGCTCAAATCTATAATTTTTTTTCGTTTGCCTGCCTCTTCGCTCGACTCCTCGTCTTATCAATTGTGTGCAGAAACCTAATTTTTGTTTATTGTAGTCTTTTATTATATTTACTTTAATTATTTATTTAATAGTGTAAAGAAACATAATTAACTTAGTTTATTATCTTATATATTTTTATTAAAGCAAAAGAAAGAAAGAGGTGTGCACTTGCGAAACTCTCAAGGAAGAGAGATTTATTTACATTAATATATATATATATATATATATATATATATTAACTTTTATGGGAGGGGGAGGGGGCAAAGTGCTTAAATATACATAATATTATTTATTTACATTGAGGTGTGCTCAATTTCCAGAAATTGTATATTATATATTTAAGTAGACTATATATTGTTCCCCAAGATATATATAAATCCAACCCTGTGTGAAACATTATTAATTTACATTATTTTGGATAATGACAATAGGCACATCTATTCATTGGATTCTTTTCTGATAAGACTATGTGAAGTGAACAAATTTGACCAAGACAATTAAAAGTGCAATAATTTTGGACAAGGCCATGTGAAACATTATTACTTTACATTATTTTTGGACAATGACAATAGATACATCTATCCATTTGATTCTTTCCGGTAAGACCATGTGAAGTGAACAAATATGACCAACACAATGACAAGTGCAATCACTTCAGACAAGACCATGTGAAACCTTATTACTTTAAATTATTACTTTGCATTACATTATTTTGCATTGGATTCTTTTGTATTGGATAACAAATGATTAAAGGATTCTCTTGCATTGGATTATTTTGCATTAGATTCTTTTGCATTGGATGATAAATGAATAAACAATTAATTTGCATTGATTTATTTGGCATTGGATTCTTTTTTATAGTCATGATACTTGTTTTGCATGTGAATTCATTTCTCTATTTATAGATCCCACTTCAAGAAGCAACCATACACATATCTTCTTCCATTATTGTAGTCTTCTTGTTCCACTCTTCTTGAGTATCTTATTTTCTTTAAAATGTCTTCTTCAAAATGGCCAAAATACTCCAAACCAGAAGATGTCTTAATTGTGAGATATTACTACCTAAGTGTTTCACAGAATCCAATATCATCAAATGACCAAAGTTCTTCAACCTTTTGGAAAAAAATACACGATGAATGCAACTCCCAAAAACACAAGGATTTACCATAACAGTCTATAAGGTCTCTTGGCTCTCGTTACCGTCGCATAGAAACTCATTGTCGGAGGTTTAATGGATGCTTGAAAGGAAATCGAATATCGCAGTCCTAGTGGGACACAAATCGAAGATAGAGTGAGTATTTTGTTTTAAGTCCAATCTCGGTTCATGTTATTTGCTTGTTTTATAGTTATACTTACAATTGTATATTTTTTACTTTGTTTGTAGATTGAGCAACCCGAACGATTGTTTGAACAAGACCCAAAATATAAAGATGGCTTCAAGTTCCAACATATGTTCCGACTATTCAAAGAGTTTGGAAAATTTGATGATAATGTCTCGCAACCACGATCTCGTCGTCGGGATTTCGATACACTCAATGATTCTTCCGAGTCCAACTTTCCATATGATGGACAACCAACACCAAAGTCTCGAGGATTCTCGTCTTTTAGTCTTCAACAAAGTGACGATGGTGTTGGTGGAACATCCTCTCAACGTCCAATGGAGCGAAGAAAGCAAAATTGAAGAAGAAAAATAAAAATCAATTTTGCCAGTATTTTAAAACTCTAAATGCTAAAAGTGATACTATTGTTGATTTGTTGCAGAAAGCTGAAGAACGTCAAATGTTCAGCTTCAATTGCAGAAACAACAACTTGATTTGCAGAAAATGAGTGTTGAAGATAGAATTTTGATGATAGATTAGAATTCCCTTAGGAATCTTATGATACGTCGACATTGGGAACAAAAACAAATGTAAATTTTACAAGAAAGAAAAATTGAGCAACAACAATCTCAAACAACGCCACCATCATCTAACACGGGTCAATTTGGATTTCTCGACGACATCGGGCATGACGCGGGAAATTTGAATGATTGTTATGGTGACAATTAAGTCTATGAAATCGCCTATTTTATAAACCTTTTTAGTTTTTATGTTCCATATTAGTTATGGTTGTTATTGTATGTGTGAGCATTAAGGATGTGTTTTTTTAGTTTATCATTATGTGGTGATTTTAATCTTAGCGTTTTAACCGTTAATTTTAAGTGAGTTGAATATTTATCCTTATTTTAATTTTATCTTTTGTTTGAAATATTTATTTAAATGAATTTAAATACTAATTAATATTCTATCATATTAATTAATAAAGTATTAAATTTTTCATTGTCCTACTTAGAATTCTATCATATTAATTACAATAATTAAGTTTAAAACAATTATAAAATATTCTAATCCAACCTATAAAACTATAAATTCAATTAGCCCAATTGTAGTTAAAAACAGCCTAGTCACAATACATCTAAATTGGCCCAAAATACCACTCAATTTCATTTTTAACCAAAAAAAAAAAAAA